AACAAGACGCGCGCACTGGGGTGAGGGGGAACAAATTCAGGTAACAATTAAGTCAACTGGAGCTTGAATGTGGCCTCCCCACCTCTTCTGCTCTCCACTCTTTCTCCCCTAATGCCAGTGTAGTAGTGAAGCCTGAAGTTAGCCACTCTCCGCACGGGAAACCCCAGGCATTTCCCGAGCCGGGAGACGCACTCCACCAGGAATTAGGGAGGGCTCAATGAAAAAGACGCGCCCACCCGCTCTCGGCCCGCACCTCCCCTTACGCCGGACTGCAGCGTCCGCGCCCTCGGGCACACTCCAAGCCCGCCCGGCCCCGGCCACGCTCGCTCATAGAGCCCGCCTGAGGCCCGCTCACCCGGATGCCCTGCAGCACCCGGACCCGCTCCTCTTCGTCCATTCCGAAGGACACCCTGCGGCCCTCGCGGCTCTCAATGCTCCCCATGACAGGAGGCAAGCAAGCGGGGAGGCGGCCACGCGACTCGGCTCCAGAGCAACCAAGTAGACGCCGGGCTGTGGCTTCCGGAACTCGGGCTGCAGTGGCACAAGCCAACAAAACCACGTTTCATTGGTCGACGGCGGCTCAACCAGTCAAATGACACGGGCCCGCGGGGCTTTGTGGGGGTTGTAGTCTCGCCAGCCAGGGCTAGCCTGTGAAGAGGGATCGCGCGGGGAGGCGTGGTGTGGAAGTCATGGAAAACGTGTTGAAAGTGAAGCAGCGGGTGCATACGCGCCGAGAGCCTAGAATGGCAGGCTAAAACGCAGGGGAGAGATGGTTAGTGCTCACTTGGAAAGATCATCCTTGAAGCAAAGCCAAAGGTGATGTTCTGAGGCCAGGACACCACCCAGGGAACTGAGGCAACCATGTGAAGGCAAACTTAGATGGTTCTCAGCTGGGTTCATTCAGCAAACTAGTATTGAGCTGCACCGCGCAAGCATCGACCTAGCCGTGGGGAATACAATGACCAACAAGACTTGCCCTGCCTTCCTGATGTTTACATATACCG